CCAGACCCTTGATCATCTTGGTGGCCCTTCTCTGGACCCCCTCCAGCCTGTCCACATCTTTTTTGTATAATGGGGACCAGAACTGTACACAGTATTCCAGGTGTTGAATATTGACTCTGGATCTTGAATTGTGTGCTTAGTACAAGCTGAAAGGTATGGTAGCATGATGTTGAGATTTTGGGGCAAGATGAGAACAGAAGCATTTATGAAGAGGTAAGAAGCACACCCATCTTTTAATTCCACCCAGTCAAAATCACATTTGACTGATGAACTCACACCAATTACATAAAAGGTTATTCAGTAAATCTGATAATTATTAATTTAATAATTATTATTACTGAATCTTATTATCCCAGAAAAAATACATATAAATTTTTCAGTAATAATGAAAAGTGGCAAATTAAGGAAACTTGCATGCACAGAATTCACTGAAGATGGACTAAAGCATTCAGGCTGTTATACAGGAACCAATATGTTGAACTCATGACGCAAAAAACCCTCAGAAAATAGTCTCCATTATAAGTCCAATACTTCTAAAATTGCAAATATTTCCAGGATACGAATACCCTTCCAAAAATCACAGATCATGCCAGATATAAGAGTAACTTGCATAACAGCCCATCCACTAGGAAACAGTCTAGCTATAAGTTCATTTAAACTGCAAACTGCATCAATCGGAGTTTAAACTAGTGGTTAACAAAAAAAAAGCCACATATTCAGTGAGGTATACAAGAATGTCCGCATTTTCAGGAAGCATCTCAAAGGAAGTTAGAGAAACACATTTAGTCTTACCAAGCTCATTCATGGCATGCCTGTGTTCTTCATCAAATGAAAGTTTCATCAAAACACACACGGCAGGACAGATTTGATGATCGACTGGAGCTGGCACTGATCAGGAAATAGGTAACTATTAGTATTTCTCAGGTGTATAATTTTGTCTAGATTATAAGGTTTCCAAAGAGAATCTAATCTTAAAATAAATAAAGTGCATTTTTTTTCAGGGTTTGTATCTTCCCAGTAACTCAAGAACAGACAGTTAATTAAAAACATTACTAATAAATGTGAGTACACAGAGGCTTGAATATGTGCACATACAACCAGGATTACATATATGTACTAGAAATATACTTGAAGTTGAAAAGACTCTTTATGGAAAAGAATTTAGGGAGAATTCTGAATGTATGTATTAAGTAAAAAATATGACTTCAAGCACAAAAAAAATATGGAATTAATTTGGAAAAATAATAATCTTAGTGAAACAAATCAGTAAGTTTAAATTTTCTGGCAGCATTAAATAATACAACACCTAAGGTGAAGCTGTTTCTTTGGGTGTTATGTCCTTATAAATGGTTAATTAAGCCCTTTGTTTCATAACAGAACTTTTCAATTTCATAATTTTGTGAGCTAGACTTTCCCTAAAGCACAAATTGTATTCGTACATCTTATTCAGAGACCCACTTCTACAAAATGATTCTTGCAGTGAAATCCAACATACAAACCAGAGCCCACTGATTTCAGTAGTACTTCTGATATAGATGTCTACAGCATATATTTACAAAATGGCAACTTTAATCCTCCCTTACTTCAGAAAAGCAGTTATTGAGTAATCCAGAAGGTTGCATCTTTTTTTAAAAAAAAACAGCTGTTATATGAGAAAACTCCAATTCACTTAAACTGTCACTTCTCTGGTATTTTAACACTGTACTATTTCTTATGTATCACATTCTAAATAATAGTTCACATTATACTGAATAGACTGAGATTATTTAATTTGTGCCCTCTATCACTTTCCTAGATGAAATTTTTATCTTTTGAACACATCTGAATGAAGAGCAATTTGGGATTATTTATTTAGACATATTTCATTATCCATTCAAAGGTAAAATAGCAATGAGTAGAAATTTATGTTTAATTTGTAGATTATAAATATAAAACACTAGAATTATATCTGGAAAGCATACCAAAGCCTATGATTTAAAGAACAAGTTTATAAATGAGATATCATATCTATAATAGATACTATTTCCTGATACTACCTCAACTTGAATATACATAAATAAATGAATAAATATAAAAATAAAAGAAACCTTACATACATTCAACAAGAAGTCAGATTAAAGCTGAATTTTTTGTAAATTCACTGCTTTCAAAATATCTTTTAAACGTCTTTATACAGTTTACAGAACCTACTTGGGGTTTTGTCTTGGTCCATGCCTTCTTCATGTGCCTCCTGCCATTTCCAACACATTTCACAGTAAGCACAGATTTGCTCCAAGAGATGAAGCACACGGATTTCCCGTCTGCCTTGCTTATCATCGGGCTGGGAGTGGATGATGTTATGCAGTGCTGCGCTGGCTCTGGCACGGGCCTCTTTACTACCACGGGAATTTCCTAACAACACAGAGTCTTTATCATTGCCATGTAAAAGCTGGATGAGGAGAGGAAGACATCCAGACTGACGCATAGCTATGCAGCTGTCTTGGGAGCTAGACATCGCTAGCAATGTTCGTGACATGTCATCTTTATCATGAGTACCAAGCATCGACAATAATGAATATACCATTTCCACCTGCAGGTGAAATGATTTTAAAAATACAATTACATTTAAAAAATACATATCAAATTAAAACAAAGTTCTCAATAGCATGCATGAGCAAAAAAGAAAATGTATTTATATAATGGTGCAAGAATTTCATAGAATCATAGAACCATAGAATGGTTTGGGTTGGAAGAGACCATCTAGTTCGAACCCCCCTGCCAGAGACAGGGACATCTTTCACTAGATCAGGTTGCTCAAAGCCCCGTCCAACCTGACCTTGAACACTTCCAACGATGGGGCATCCACAACTTCTCTGGGCACCCTGTTCCAGTGTCTCACCACCCTCACTGTAAAAAATTTCTTCCTTTTATCCAATCTAAATCTACCCTTTTTCAGTTTAAAATCTTTGCCCCTTGTCCTGTTACTACAGGCCCTGGTAAAAAGCCTCTCTCAGTCTTTCTCATAAGCCCCCTTTATATATTGAAAGGCTGCAATAAGGTCTCCCTGCAGCCTTCTCTTCTCCAGGCAGAACAACCCCAACTCTCTCAGCCTTTCCTCATAGGAGAGGTGTTCCATCCCTCTGACCATTTTTGTGGCCCTCCTCTGGACCCGCTCCAACAGGTCCATGTCTTTTTTGTGCTGGAGGCCCCAGAGCTGGATGCCATACTCCAGGTTGGGGTCTCACCAAAGCAGAGTAGAGGGGCAGAATCACTTCCCTCGACCTGCTGGCCACGCTTCTTTTTACACAGCCCAGGATACGATTGGCTTTCTGAGCTGCAAGAACACATTGACGGCTCATGTCCAATTTGTCATCTACCTCATATCCTCAAGTCCTTCTCTGCAGGGTTGCTCTCAATCCATCCATCAACCAGTTTTCTACTACTTTGAAATAATTAAATAAGCACTATTAGTTCTTCACCATTTATAATCTTAATAAATCTCACTTAGTGGTTAAATGGCTAGATAACTGAGTGGTAATTATATCTAACTGTATTAATCTGCAAGACTAATGGCAAAGACTTCTAACTTTCCATTGCACACAAGGATTAAAGAAACATACTAATGAAAGTGCTTTAGTTTGGGAATGCAGTAATATATTTTAAATTAATTTTATCTCAGAAGAGTATATTCTGTATGAATCATACTTTCATGAAAAGATGCTCTTCAGTGAAAAATTATTTGATGCATGGCATTAAATACAGTTACTCCAGACAAGATAAGACCGATTACATTAACTTTTAACATACAAAAAACATACTAAAAAAACTTACACATATTTTAATGTTTTCCATTAAAACTATTTCAAATTAACCAATGAATTTTTGTTATGATGAATGATTTGCATATAGGCCAGATTATTTACAGCTAATGCAAAATTGAAGAGGAAATTTGACACTTTCTTCAAGTTTACAGGGATAAAACCAATGAAGCAAACAAATGCTCATTTAATATATACAGTATAAAGTACTAAGCATTTGTCCAACTAAATCAAGCCATGAAAAACCATCATTACACATTTAACTCAGAGCAACTAAATTTCAAATTAAAAAATAGCAATTTTTGAGGGGTTCCTTTGGCTGCCATATAACAGAGTGGTCAATGCACTATTTGGTTTTTCTTTTGCATTCTGTTTTCTTCAGTAATAGCTTTAGATTGAGAAATGTGTTTGGTTCTTTTAGTGAACTTTTAGTAGAACAATATGATGTACAAGGTAATATTAGATACTATCTAGAAACCCCAAACTCCTAAAGCCAAGAATACAGCAAATTTCAAAATCATAGCACAACATAAATAAACTATCAAAGGAAACTGCAAAGTAGCAGTGAGTATGTTTCTTTAAAATATACCAGCTAAGGAAGAAATGAGACTTGCAGACTGTCATACAAAGTTTTCTAATAATAACTACATTTTTGCACTGGTTACCAGAACAATGAATTATTTAATTTGGTTTCTTCAGAGACTATTCTAATGTCTCTGAAGATGAGTATAAATACCGAGTTATAAAAAAAAATGGATAGCAGTGGGTAGACTAAGCAATAAGTCTGTTAACATGCATTTTTCTAAAGACTAGAATTGCTGAAGCAATAGAAATCTTAAAATTTATAAAATGTTATGATCACATGCAAAATCCGCTGAAATACTCTTGGAGTCAATTTTATGACAGCCTAGCATCCCAGTTTGTAGATCCTTACTTCCTGGTCTGGGAAAAAAATCAAATACAGTAGTAAGACAATCCACTTGGATTCTTAAATGAGAGTGAATTCAGTCTGCTTTATGCATGCCTCTTGACAGACATTTTAAGCAGCAGCTTTAGTCCACAGTTATTTAGATTTGGAAGATAAAGTTTTTTGTCAGAGAATAAAACTATAGAAGCCATCAAAATCTGGCCTCCGGATTTGTGGCACATATAGTACAGGAAAAACTCTAAAATATATACATATATTCTTTATATATACACTACACACAGAAGCATCTCTTTTTGCATCTGTAAATGCTTAAAATCTCTACTGCTTTCCCTTCTTCTCATGCATTAATTTCAAGCTTTTCTTAACCCACAGCACACTAAGATGGACTTATTTATTTGTCTTCTTCCTTCTACGCTCAGTCCCTTTCTCTGCATTCAGGGCTCTCCCCTTGTCTGCACCTTTTGGGAATTCTACACTTTATAATGGGAAGTAGCAAACAGACACTCTAACTAATGTCACCTCCATTTGGTGCATGCATACAATGAAGGGCAGAAATTACAACATAACACTGTTTTAAGGCCCAACGTAACTTAATACTATGTCAAGATCCTGCTTCCCAGAAGACTGGGATCAGCACCACATTGATAATATCAACATTGCTGCTGATGCCAGAGATTGTATAAACTTCAGTGGTTCAGGGACTCAATTGTGTGTTACAGATTTGCCCTTTTTATCTCTCTTCATGCTGCTCGTATATCTTGAGTACATTCTCTATTGTATATCAAGCTTCACCTCTATTTTTTCAGTAACTTTTTAGAATACACTGCAGATATATAAAAAGTTGCTTCAAAAGATGGAAAGATTTCCTATTTCCATTGAGAAAAAGGAAACTGCAGCTAAGAAGATTTAGTTTAGATATTAAAAATTTTAATAGCAAAAACTGAAAAATTGATAGAGATTGCTTATCATTAAAGCTTTTACCAATAGGTTAGACAGCTTTCACATGCTGTCAAGAATGCTCTTGATAAAATTAATGCATTACTGGGAGACATATTAGATGATCTCCTCAAAGTCCCTTCGCATTTCCTATTTTCAATGATTATTCAATTCAAATATTTTAGTCACTATGAGCATTTTCCATTCTCCATTATTCTACGCCGTATTATCTGAATTACTATCGAGACAATGAACAGTCATTTATTACCATCAAGGGCTTACATAACTTTTTTTTAATTTAAATTTCTTAGCAACACACCTGTTTTGAGGACTCAGACTCCAGTAAAATATTCCAAGAACTGCTTTTAAAAGGGTTAGTTTTCATAACGGATTATGCATCAACATCACAAGTTTTTTAGGTACTCAAATAATTTCTTGCAATCAAATTTTCCTTATTGATCATTCAGCTAATATTAGCACTATTAGCAGAAACAATGAGGTTATTGTATTAGTAAAAATGTAGCATTAGCGACCTGTGGTTTGTAATCTTCGGTTACCTTGGTACCCAGATGATTTGTCAGTCTGCGAGGAACAGAATAGTTATTACTAGAGTTCATAACACTGGCTGTCTCATGGTCCATTCGAGCAGCAGAACCCTAAAAATGTAAACAACAACTCAGTATAACACAAAGTCTAACTGCAATACCAACTATTGCCTAAATCTGTTTCAGCCTTGGATGATGAAATCATATTTATAAAAATGAACTATCAGCATGTATTTTGGTTAAGTTAGGTCTACCCACCCTGACATAACTTAGATATCAATGTTAAACTGGGTTTTATTATCCATTTTTCCCCTAAATTCAACCTCAAAGTAGTTATATTTTCAACGGAAGTCTTTTATAATTATTTTTACCAAGAAAAAAGAAGAAGTGGACTTGGCAACAAACTGAATTATGATTTTTACAGAGGGAGAAAAAAGTAGCCTCTACTTTTAGGTCAGATTATATAGTGAGTAGGAATAAGCCTGTACTACCTTCAGAACACCATCAGATATGCAGGAATTGACAAGGAGAGATTCATCTTGACAAGGAGTAACCTACTTGAACGTGTTTTTATCAAAAGCTGATTAACACAGGTGGTTAAATCTTCTATTTTTTAATGAAAAGCTATAAAATAATGCTGACATTATTTGCTGTAATTTCTCTAGAAACTATGGTAGATAGCATGTTTCTACCTATTGTAACAACACCCAGTTATTAACATCTTTGCCCTTTTTTAATCTATTTTGTGTACTTACATCCCCTCTCCCATTTATCCTCTCACACTCTTCTTTGGAGTGGTGTTTGTGTGTGTGTGTTTAGTTCTTTCTTTTTCTCTGCTTCCTGTCTGTGAAGCTTCCTTTACTATGTCCCTCTCTCACAAGAAGATTCCATTCAGTTTGGGGCACTTAAAAATACATTGGAATAGTATACAATTTAAAGGAATATTGTTCTGTTTGTTTCATTGCTGTACTGGGTGAGCTTTATTTTGCCTCGAAATTGAGCTGAGTGCCTTCTTATATTGAAGTTTGCCCAACATTCCATTGTCCTGAGCCTACATCACTGTATTAAGTGACTTTTCCCTGTATTAGCTCTAACAGAAGGAAGACACAATTTCATAAGAGTTCTTAATCCTTTTATATATATCTAGGTGAATATGTTATCCACTGTGATCAAAATAAGTGGTAATATGATAAATATTTATCTGGAGTCATATGTTTGTCCTCTTAACAAAACAGCCCAAATAAAAACTAAACTCCAGAAGTTGAAAAATTACTTCATCTTCTAACTGTTAAACACTAATTGTGAAGGAGTCACAGAAGCAAATTCCTACAAAAACCATAAATATTACTGGACCATATCAGTGATATTTAAGAAGTCATGTACAAAATAATGTATACTATTTTAAATACACAGGTCTTTTAATCTACTGACTTTTAATTTCTGGTGGTTTAACCCCAGCCAGCAACTAAAGCACCACACAGCCGCTCACTCACTCACCCCAGTGGGATGGGGAAGAGAATTGGAAGGGTGAAAGTCAGAAAACTCATGGGTTGAGATAAGAACAGTTTAATAACTGAAGTAAAATAAAACAGAATAGTAGTTATAGTAGTAATAATAATAATAACGTAATAATACAATAATAATATACAAAGCAAGTGATATAAACTATACAATTGCTCACCACCCACCGACCGATGCCCAGCATGTCCCTGAGCAGCGATTGCTGCCCCCTGGCCAACTC